CATATAATGCACTATTTAGCCATAATTTTTTTGTTCACTCCTGCATCCATCTTGATGTTAATTTTGCATTTGATGTATGTTTCCTTACAGCGAGAAAGGTTTCTGCGACATAGTGACACTGGTCCTGGCCCTTCATGTGATTGGCCATCGGCAGACCTCAACACCTCCCCTACTGGTGCCAGATCCCTTAAAGAAAGCAACAGTGCCGGTTCCAGACCGAGAGCATGGAGCGTACGCACCTTCCAGGACTTCCTTCCTCCACTGCCGCAGCTTCACAAGAAGTGGTGCAGCTGGAACTCCACCAGTCCCTTCACCAAGCTGGTGGATAGCGTCAGTACATGAGCCTTTGCAGTGTTTTATTCTCAGGGACATTTACAGTATGTTGAAAAGTGCATTAAATGATGGGTACTTGTTACTAGCGCACGACCGAAAGGGAAATTTTGGCTATCGTCAATATCGATATTGGGACAGGAAGGCTAATAACAATATTAGATATATTGGTTGAAAAATTTTTTACTTTGTCCATCTAAAAAAAAATCTAAGTAATAACCAGTAAAAGCCAAATTATGAGATGTCTGTGGAGGGGTGAGTGGAGCAGGGCTTGTTTATTTAACACGGCTGTTAGCAACCATGAAGCTAAGCAAATCAGATCCATCTATACCGAGTCCCACACTAGGTTTACAAGTGGTGCACCGATCATAAAATCATCTTCCTAACTTGCATTCACATTTGCTATCCTCCATTATTCATCATAAAGTTACCAAGTTTGTTTCAAAACTATAAACTAAACAAAGAAACGCACTTTTCTGTTCAGTGTTTAAACAGTCAGTCACGTATGGTGAAAGCCTAATTTGACCACAGCAGTGTTTTTTTTTTCTTTGCAGAAGTAAAAATTTCAGACAAACGATGCATTTCATGGAGGATGACAAAGATAATGTTACTAACACTGATACATATTTACTGCTACGTTAGATTTATTGTTATGGACAAAGTTTTACAATAGCCTTATAGGTTATCTAAACGTTAGCTTGCTAACTTGATAGGCTTGTAATGACAAGCGTGTTGGGAGGATTGAAGAGAATTTATTATTTGATTTTTATTTTACAGATCAGTTACAACAAACTTACCATGCTCTGTTCAGCAAAGTATGCTACACAGTATTTACCGGTAGTTGCTCCCTGCTTTTTGGGTCTCCGCTTGGCTGTGCTGTGAGTCATGTTTGCAGCATGGCCATGACTTGAAAGTAGTCTGCATGCGCCCTCTGCTGGATACATTGTAGAATTGTTCCATTTGAAAGTAAGGACACAGCTCGATCCCAGCATTTTAGGGGTAAAAATTAAAAGTATTTATATCGGCACATAATGGGCCAATTATTACTGATACTGATATATCCCCAAATGCCTATATCCAATCCTGGATGGATGGATCGTCCATCCATCCCTTCATCCATTATATTCTGCTTATTCTGATGTCGGGTTGTGGGTGCAGCAGCTTGATAAGGGAAGCCCAGACACCACAGCCACCTCTTCCAGCTCTTCTGGGAGGACTCCAAGGCATTGCCAAGCCAACTAAGAGACGTAGTCTCTCCAACATGTCCTGGGTCTTTTCCAGGGTTTCCTCCCAGTCAGACATGCCCGAAGCAGCTCCCTAGGGAGGCGCCCAGGAAGCACCCTTACCAGAGCTCGTGACCATAGGTGAGGGTAGGAACATAGACTGACCGGTAAACAGAGAACTTTGCCTTACAGCTCAGCTCTCTCTTCCATAAGGAGAATTTCTGCCACAATTATGGTAGACAATAAAGTTTCTCTTATCTTATATCTTATCTACAACGGACTGGTACAGAGTCTACAATACAGCAGATGCTGCACCAATCTGTCAATCTCCCTATCCATTCTTCCCTCACTTGTGAACAAAACCCTGAGATACTTGAACTCCTCCACTTGAGGCAGAACCTCACCCTCAGCCCGAAGAGAGCAATCCACCCTTTTCCGACTGAGGACCGTGGCCTCAGATTCGTAGGTGCTTATATTTGGCTTACATTATCAGCCCTACTGATATATCAGTCTACTTGTTACCCATGGTGTCTTGGTGTTTATTTTGAGAGACAGGCCACAGTTGGTTCTAATGGTTTTGATAGTCTTCATAATTACATTATTCTTGATTGAAAAGGTAAGTTCAATTTTTTTTAACCCTGTAACTAATGATGTTCATCACTGCCAAAAGAAGATGTCACTGTTGTAACAAGGAACTACATAACTTCTAAAATATAATTGTGTATTGCTTCTTTTTAAAATGATCAGGAAACAAAACTTGCAGACACTGTTTGGCTTAGATAAACACAAGTAAGCTTATGTCGAAACGAAACCTCCTAAGAGGATAGTTGACCGTAACAAAACTATCTAGAAAAATATTTTTAAATTCACAAGATGCTCGTTATGTCAAAGTTAATAGTGTTTAATATATTTCTTTATCTACTGGGTTTGTTCACTTTACTGTGTAAACCAGCCACTATAGGGAACAAAAGCCGGTGTATTTCTTGTGCTGGACACAAACCTAAATAAATTGCAAGGGTCGTGTCTGGAAGGGCATCGGGTTAAAACACTTTTGCCCAAACAAGCATTACAGTTGATCCAAGAGACACCATACCAGATCAGTTGAGGCCTGGGTTAATGACAACTGCCACCAGTGCTGTTGAAAAACGGTGCCAGTGGAAATTGTGCTTCTGTTCTTTGAAAAACCCATGGTGGAAATCATGCCAGGAGTCACAGGAGAAGAGGAAAGTCAAGAGTGTAGAACTGAGTGTAGAAACTCTAAATGTGGGGACAATGACAGGCAAAGGTAGAGAGCTGGCTGACACGATGCAGAGGAGAGAGAGATGTGTGCAAGAGACCAAGTGGAAGGGCAGCAAGGTTCACGGGCAGGGTTTAAGCTGTTTTACCATGGTGTGGATGCTGCAGTGGCTTGGTGGTCATAAATCTTTTATGCGAGTTTGCTCGCAGTGGCAGTCCCTGAAGGGAGCAGCTGAAAGAAACTTACCATGGTGTGGATAATTTGAGTAAGGGTGGTCCTGAAGAAGGAGTTGGCAAAGAATGTAGTAGAGGTGCAAAGAGTGTCAGATAGGGGGATGTGTCTGAAGGTAGAAGTAGAAGGTCTGATACTAAACATAGTCATTGGTTATGCTCCACAGGTTGGATGTGAGCTAGAGGAGAAAGATACATTCTAGAAGTATCTAGATGAAGTAATGGAGAGTGTTCCCAGGGAGGAGAGAGTGGTGGTCGGAGCAGACCTGAATGAACATGGTGGTGAAGGAAATGGAGATGAGGAAGTGATGGGCAGATTTGGTGACAAACAAAGCAATCAGTAAGGACAGATTGTGGTGGATGTTGTCAAATGATAAATTCAATTCAATTTATTTATATAGCGCCAAATCACAACAAAGTTGTCTCAGGGCACTTTACAGGAACATTCACATAAAAGCCAATTAGTAAAGTTGTCTATCTAAGGAATCCAGCAGACAAGATGAATCTTGGCTTTGTTGCAGTCTCCCATCCTGAGCAAGCATGACATAAATCTGAAGATGCGATCCACTATATCTCAGGGTATTAGATTGTGGAATGATCTGGAGGTTGATATTAAAAAAGCCAAAACTATGTACATATTCAAGAGGATGATAAAAATTTGTTTTTAAAAAACATATTAAGTATAATATGAGTTCATAAAAATTGTTTACAGTTGATCTTATATTTTAGCTAAGTTTTTTTTAATTATTTTTTATCTTTTTATTAATTCATCTTGCTTTTGTATAGTAATTTTGTTTGGAATATATTTTGGGGACAAGGGGCAGATATTATAAGAACTCATTCTTCTTCTGCTGCCTTTCATTTTATTTCGGTGATTGTATATCTTTTTTCTTTTCTTTAAATTGTATTATATTTGTTGTTTGGATGAAATGAAATGAATAAATAAAACATACATACATACATACATAAATGACATATCATGTTTCATTTTAGGCTTCATCCAGTTTGGCAGCTGAGTGCAGAGGGAACAACAGTAGGAAGGTATTCTCTGATGTTCACCTGGAGGCCCAGACAGACACCGGAACCTTTTCTGATTCATCCATCAGCAACGCTTCCTACCCTCTCACACAGCATGCACAAGGGCAGCGGCGTCTGAACTCCACCAGCAACTTGCGCCGCTCACGATTCACAGGACCTTGTTTTGGCCTTCTCACAGAGACAAAAGACCCATTGAAGGGGTCTGAGGTGACACCAGGCCTGCCATCTGAGCCCAACCCTGGCTCTTCCTCCTCCGCCCAATGCCAGATCGAGAATGGCCAGGTTGTAAAGGGTCGTGAATTTCCAGGTGAGGGTGATCACATCAGTGTTCCAGTGTTTGCCATATCTGAAGAGGAGGACCGGCAGCCTCTTGTCTCCGCTGAACACCTGGACCTGACCTCTGCTGTGCAGAACGGACTGGTTAGAGTTCTGTACGAGAGCAAGAGGCCTCCTGCTGGGAGCATCAGCCTCAGCCCCAAAAGAGTCAGACCAGAGTGGAGGCCATGGGGGAGCCAGGTGTCTGGAGGGGTTGGTCCACTCTCTTTCAGTACATTTCCTGAGTCCAACAGCAGCCAACCTTCTGTCAGTCTGTCTGCAGGGCTGTGCACCGTTACAAATCAGATGTGAAAGTAGTGGGGAAAGGGAGACTCTGCTGGGCCAGTACTTCACTTTGTGGCATTGTTAAAAAAAAAAAAAAAAACGTATCGCTTTTTTAACCATCTTTACCAATTTATTTCTACATTTACACTAGAATTTTGTGGGAATCTTTTTTTCTTTCAATTTTTATAAAATTGCCCAAGAACAAACTATATGCTGCTTTTTTATCCCAAGGCACTGATGGACTCCAGACAACTTTGCAATTATTAACTTTACTGAAAACTGCACCATCACAGAGCACCTTTTAACCAGATGTTTTCAATAGTTGAATGCTGTTTGGTTCTCTCACTCCAGCTGTTGCACTTTGCTTTTCAGTATCACTGTCAGTGTTGAGTTCTGCTGCTTGTGCCAGCGTTCTGCCTCATCCTTTGTGGTTCTTTATGTATTTTCCTTTGGCCCAAACCTACAAAAAGAACTGTACAGTGTCTTGTTACCCAAAAGTATTATGTAGAACGTAGATCATTCATTTACTGTATATCAATGTTAAACATTTTATGTACTGTTGAGATCTATAATGGAATATAAAAGGGAAATTTAAAGTTTTAATATACACCATTAGGTAGTATAACAGTAGCATTTAAAGTTTTGGGTTATTGTAAAATTTCAATAAAGAATGTTGAACTGCTCTGTGTCTTTAATTTGACAAAGTTAAAATGCTGCACGTCTGCTCACATTTATCTTCTAGTCTTCTGGAAACAGAGTCTTACACAAACACTCGAGAAATAATCTGAATGTTTGTCCATAAGACAATGTTATAATTAGTTAAACATAGCTAGGAGCATAAACTCATCCAAGCAAAATAACCAGGAAAAACACAAATTATGTACTTTCAGCTGCTGAAAAAACAACCCAGATTTTAATTCAGATATATCAATATTTTATTATAGTTAAACAGGCAAATTAGAACAATATTAATTTCCAATATATTGTTAGTATTACTACTATTGCTGAAACAGTAAAAAATGTTAAATCTTAATGACTAAATTTCTGTATGTGCTTCGTGCTACTCTGAAAGATCTTAGAAGTTGATTATCTAAATTAAATTTTAAAATAGTGCAATGCATACAAACTTCACAGGCATCAGTATGAAGAGCCCATTTATTGAAAATGTAAGCAGGTGGTGTTTTTCCCGTCTGATCTAAATGTGACTGATTACCCCTTCAGTCCCTAAATCTAGGAAGCTGAGATGAGGTAGAATGAAACGTTGTATATATACTGGTGTGTGTATAAATATATATATATATATACACACACTGGCACTTCTGAACAGCTCAGTCCAACACTTTGCACAAAAGGTGAACAAACACATAAAACCTTAAAGACACCCATCACTCCAGGTAGAGAGCAAAGCCTCTGTCAGCTTCTGACTGGAGCGGCTTGGAACTGTTGTCAGCTAAGGGTGAGCAGATTTCCTGCAGAAAATAATTAAAACTGGTCAGCGGGGATCAGTCCAGCTTGTGTGGAGGGGCTGAGCTGCTTTGGAATGCCTACTCAAACCCAGCATGAATGAAAGTTTAAAAAAAATAAAAATACAGAAAACAATCCACTTCCTTTCTTTTACCACAAATTAAGAACCTTATGCAAAAAAGTGTCCATATTTTTTTCACAACAAATAATAAACAGACTAAATTAGAAAACATGCTGACATCTACCATTTAAAAAAATGAATATATATATATATATATATATATATATGAAACTTGACAATTTTCCAAAACTATCAAAAGACTTGCTTTAACTCTTGATTTACTCCCTTTTTAATCAAACATTGATTATGGAATAATGACTCTTCTCATGGTTTCATATGAGCTGGTCATCTTTTATCATTGCACAGGATTTTCACTGATATACTTCCAAGCGTTTACTTCAATGTGTGAGACTAATGTGTGCAAAAATAGTACCAACTATTTTCTTGTAACTCGGCTAAAACCAACATGGATATCAAAAGATAAAATTGCACAAAATGTACTAGATGCCTGCTATGGCCCGCTTTAGCTAGTTTCCACTTCACAGCCACCAGCCTTTATAATCAACTATAAAAACTGTCGGGATGATTACTACTATTACATCGTCTTATTAGATTATACAAGGTCTCAAACTAATCTTGGGAGGTTGCATTTTTAAGGCAAAGAGAACAAATATACAAAGTGAATTGTCAAAATGTGTTACAACATCATCAGTTTTAAAAAACCTGTAACACAGGTGATAGTCTTGAGGTCTGAGCTTTTTAACAATCACTGCTTTTCCTTTTTCACATCAAACCTTCAACCACTAAATGCGGAGAACTTGCAGGTGAAATATGAGAGATATGTGAAATATAAGAGCAGCTTTGTGTACCTGAGAAACAGAAAATCTGAAGAAAAGCAAAAACGTTGATCAGCTGAGGTCAATGAAAAGTGGATCGCCATGACAACATACTGCTGTGTCAGCATCATTGTGACGGCGCGAGCTGCACAGCACGTCCAACGTTCTCCCTGACCCGCGTCACTAAAACATTACACCCACGGCTGCTTTAAGTGCACTCTTCCTTTGCTGAGCGCACATGGGATAGCTGTGCATTTCATCACAGATTAGCCCATAGGAACATGTCCCTTTTCCACAACGTTAAATCACCTTGGAGATGATTATCCAGAAGAAAGCTCAGAGCGGAGGCCCCCCCTCTGCCTTCTGACAGCATTAACACATTGATCCCCTTCCCACAGATGTGAAATCCTATACAAATATCACATGGGATTACAAATCTCACCCCGTACGTGAGCGAGGGGCTTTAACGTGGCTTTTTGCTCCTGACTGGGAACACGGTAATGCCCTGGTTAAACGGGACAAAAACATTAAAAAGAATCCCTCAGCTGTGGCACTTTCACTAAAGTTAGCACCGTGGAGCTTGGGAGCTACTTGATACCACGTGCTGGCTCAAAATGGTAAAACAAAAACATTTTTAATACTAATAACCCATATTTTACAGATGTTTGTCTGCATTATGTTGTACAAGGCCCTGATTTTTTAAATCCAGCATGTAATGAGACTTAAAATACTTCTATTGCAAAAACAGCCAGTCCACATGAGGTACTTTAAGCACGGCCATAAAAGAGGAGCACATAGCCTGGTGAGCAAACTTATCAGGAAGCACTTGGAGCCGTTCCACCAGATACACACAATTCACCTGCTTTATCTAAATGTGGTTTCCCTGATTATTCTATAGGGGACAAAAAACTGCAATGGAGATAACAGCTGATGATGTTCGCCCAACAAGACCTGTGTTTTAAAGGCTGGCTGCAACCTTTCCAAACATTTATCTTTTAATATATGTGCATAGCATTTCACAGGCCCCTGCATTTAAGGAGACACTGATCACTATTTTGAATGGACACTGATAGGAATATGTGCAAAGGGTTGTTGCATAGGGCTAAAATAGAAAACCGAAGTTGAGACCGTGTTCCCCACAGTGCACAAGATGCTGATGCATCTACACTGGACACGTTTAGGAAGAAACAAGCCTCCTGCTCCTTCAGCTCTTGAAGCGTGTCTGCTCACATATGTGGTTGAATTTCCTGCAATGATAGAAAAACAAAAGCACACATTTGTTTTGCATATTAATGCAAACGAGATGACTTTAAACAAGTTGCACAGAACCTCAGATGATAAGCAGAAAGAAGTGTGGAACCTAATCTGTAGAAGGACGCCCCCTAGTGGTCAAACAGGTGAAAACCATGCAGAGACCTGAAACTTGTCTCTTGTCACATGAGCTCCTGCAAATGTCTAAAAATCTGAAATCACGTGTCATCCCTAAAATCCATGAGAATGCATTTATTTATTTTATATTAGCAGCTACTTATATTTGCGCCTAATATTATTTACTAAAAGTGTGAATGTTTATTTTTCTTCCGTATAGTTTTCAGTACGTTCTACAATTTTTGTGCCAGATCAACAGTTCCTGCACCAAATCGTTCAGCTCCTTCAGGACATTCCTGCTCCGACTTTTGGTATTTGTGCAAGTTTTACTTTTTAAAATATTTAGTTTTTCGGCCATGTTTTTCTCATTGAACATGAATGGAGCTCTCTTCACATCCTTCAGCCCTTTGTGCTGTTTGAAACATTTTACTGTTAATTTCAGCTTTTGTTCTGGTTCTGCTTTTTCAGCTTGTTTGGGATAATTTCAGCTTCCTACAGCTCATTTCTACTAATTTCAGAAAATTTTTTAAAAAGCTTTTTCAACATTTTTTATGCTAATTTTAATGTTTATCTGCTCATTTCAGATTATTTATTAATTTGTAGTATATTCAGCCTCTCTGCCTATTTCAGCTCCTTTCTGCTAAATTTATGCTCAATTTAGCTTTTTCTACATATTTCTGTCATTTTTCTGCTGCTTTCTGCTTTTATTTTGTTGCTTTCAGTAAACGTCAGCTGTTCAAATTCAGCTCACATCAACAGTTTAGAGATGAAACCTTTTCATCTGGGTTTCAACTTCTTCAGCAGCTTTCAGCAAAACACCTTCACACTGCATTTTCACAGGAAATTCAATTTTTCTAGCTTAAAATGCTCTTGATCAGTGTTATGCACCTGGGGCACATAGGCCTTATTGTTTTGGCTCCTTTGACAGGTCTTGCGTTGACTATTCAGCCTTTAATTGTTTTGAGCTGTGGCTTTTTCCACCCGCCCATAAATACGCTGGTTTCAGGGAGCTTTCCCTCTCTTTTGCTCCTTTTTTGCTCCTCACAGACGCCACACATTTTTGGACCTCTTTCTTAGGCGGCCCTTGTTTTTTTCTCTGGGGCTTTTGTTTTTCCCTTTGACCTGGAGCTGTGACCTGCGGCCGGCAGCTTCAGCAACAACGGGTAATTTTTGTTAAAACTTTTTGCATACAGTATGTTTAGTAACTTTGGCCGGGTGGGACTGGCAGCCCTGTTTTCGCCTCTTCTTTTACAATGGGGTTTTTTGTAGTTTTTTGGTCTGGTACCCAGTGGCTTCGACGGCCCTGTACAGGGTTGGCCCGCTGTGGTACCTTTTTGTTCTGCTTGGCCAGGTCACCAGGTCCAACTTTAAGTGGATTTTATTTTATTTTTGTTGTTGGACAAGGGAATTGTTGTTTTTTCTCTTCTCCTGCAGGAAGTGGCTGAATAAATTGAATGTTTGAACCCCTATTTGTGAGTCTGTGTCCTCCTTGAATATGTTGTGTCTTTAGTGGACGTAACAGACTTGTAGTGTCAGAGTGCAATAATTAAAAATGAGTTGCACATTTTGCTGGTTAGAATCTCTGTTAAGATGACACTAATAAAAACTGGAAATAATACAAACAGTGTTCGTCTGTATTAAGGATAAGCGTAAATAACTTTTTTTCTTTTATCACCTGCAGAAACGGTGGTTACAGCAGCGTGGACCGTGTCATTAAAATCATTACTCAGAGAGCAGCTACTTGACCAAACAATGAACTTTATGGTACATTTTTCTTGCAAAAGAACTTACGTTGCATGATGTGCCTTCACCTGTGTGCGGCAGTTGCGCCCCCAGTAACAGTCAGGGCGAGATGTTACTGCGGCTGAGGGCGAAACGGCAAAGGGTGGTGTTACAAATAAAATGACTGGATAAAACAGTACCGGAGCTGGAACACCTTTAACACAGCGTCTGCTCTGTGAATTTAAAGAACACTTTCTGACCTGGCAGCTCAGATGGAGGGATGTTCTGCCGGTACATGTAGGCCAGCTCCTTGAAGGCTCGCAGACCGCAGCAGAAACACAGAACGGTGTTTGCAGAGATACGACAATCTGACCGAGATGAGGTCAAACAAACGTTACTGCTCTTTGTCCAGATCAGTGTGTGCAGCAGTGAGTTTATTTTATTAAACAGTTTACATGGATGCACAGTGAAGTTTAAGAAGAATATCATTTCTGCAGACTAACCTGTCAGGAAGTAGTTTCCCTGCTGTAAACTTAGCAGAGACTCCTGGAGCAGATCTTTCCATGACTTCCCTCTGGAGGACAGGTAGGTCTGATGGAAATAACAGAACTTATGAACATCATACAAACTTTACATGCAGTTACATATTTTACAAGCGTGCAAAAATAAAAGTCAGCTTGTAAAAATCATTTGTTGCTACAGTTAAACGGGTATTAAATATCAACAGTAGTTGGTGAAAAAGGAGCAGAATCTTGAAATAGCAGCACATCTTACTTTTAGGATGTCCGATTCATAATTATTGTTGTTCAGCACCCCATCCAGACACTTGTCAGTCAGATTGAGCTCTGAAACAGAAAGACGATGTACGTTACACGCAACACATTTTGTAGACACAATAACATTTAATACAAAGTTAGACTTCAGATACACAAGTCCCGAGGAGGTCGGGGCGCGGTGCAGGAGGAGGGGGTGGGGTGACGTCAGGTCTGGTTCTGAACAACCACGAAAACGACAGACACCTTAATGGACCTGTATTTTTGTACGAGTCTGTTCTATTAAAGCCAGTATCTGTTTAGTTTCAATAAATACGTAGTACGTACCACTAAATCGAGCCAGACAACCGTGGCAGCCAATCCTCTGGCAACCCCAGTACATATGACAGAAAGGTCGCTGGCACAGCGTACCTGTCAACACAACACTTCATGTAAACACCAAGCACAGGCTTCACGATATTAACAGTTTCCATTACACTGTTGTTAAACATAGGATTCAGAATGGTGGTGTAGTTTCAGTCAGCAAACGTTACATTTGTGGACAGAGACTGACATCCAGGGTTTGGAGCACTCACACTGCTGAGCAATGACCTGCTGGTTGTGCTGCTCAGCCAGTCTGTCTGGCATTGGCTGGAGGCAGCAGGTGCAGATGAGATGGAAGCCCTGAGGGGGACAGTGGTACTCCTGAGGTGCTGCTGATGAAACACAGGTAAAGAAGAACTTCAGAAAAGCACCAACATGCTCCTCTAAGTTACTATTTATCAATTATAAACACCATTTTTCTCAGTCTCGTGATGAAATTTGTTGGAATAAAAACAGAACCAGTATTTTTACACTCAGCTGGGGAATGATCTGAGGATGTGGAGGGTTGTTCTCCTGCTGGCTTGACTGCTCCCTCCTCGCTTGGTGGTTTGGGTGGTGGAGGTGCAGACTGTAGAGTTGGAAAACTAGAGAACCAGTAGTTTGAACTTGCGCCAAACAGCATTTGGTTCACGTCCCTCATGTAGCCAGGACACTGCCTGCACATTATAAGAGGCTGGCTGTGGACGAAACGGAGAAAAGAACGTTAGAAATCATTTTATTCTCAAACAAGCAATTATTTACTTCACCACCTGAAATCCCAGCTTCGATATGGAGCACCAACAGGTTAAATTTAATAAAGCCTGGTTTGGTTGATGATGAAGAGCAAATATTTCCACAAAAACACATAAAGACACTGGATAGTCAAAGTCCTGCCGCTGCCTTCAGGCTGGAAGGAATATTTTCCACATTCACCATCACACACACCTTTCAAAGGCCGACTCCAGCTAAAACTAGACTAAACAAATGATCCTGTTTATAGTCTGGTTTAGACATTTACCTTTTATTTTTGCTGTATTAAACTGTAAAATAACTGATAAAGCTAGTTCACTTGCAGCTCACATGAGTAGCTGCACTGCAGAGCAGAAGGTGGTGAATGAATGAAAGATAAAAACAGGTGTTAACATCACAGAGCTGCTCTCTGGACACCATTTAACAAACTTGGGTTTAATTAAAACCAGTTGCATCACTACAAAACGGTGATACAACTTCCAGTGGCGAGAAGTTTTTGAAAACGCTCTGAATTGATCAAAACGTACAAAGTTGTTGTGCGAGCCGATATTTAAATACAACTAAAGACGCTGTGCAAAGTTGTGAAGAAACTTTCATGAAGAAAAAATCTGCACATTATTTCTCATATCAATGGTCAACGAGCTCAAAAAGACTTGTTCGCAAAATTAGTGATCAGATCTTTGTATACCTACGTAAATAAACGAAGTGGCTTAAAATAGGTCAAAGATTCATATTACCCACAATTTTTGTTTACCTAAACCAGGGGTGCCCACTTTTTCAGCACGTGATCTACCTAATATAAAAATTAAAAATAAATACACCAGTACTTATTTATAAACATATTAAGTATGCTTTTTATGTTTACCGTTCTTGTGTTTAGTATTTAGTACCATGTTTTATATGGCACCTTGATTTATTGTTTTATAACACTACTTTTATTTTAATTGCATTTTACTGTAGTTTATACGTTGTCTGTCTAAAACTGGTCTCTCTTGTAAATGAGTCCTCGTGACTCAATGAGACTAACCTGGATAAATAAAGCTTGAATGAATGAATGAATAAGTCCCAGGTCGCTGTGAATGTAACATAAACCCAAAAGTTTGTTAAAAAAAAAAAAAAGTGACATTTTTACTGTCCGTGTACAAAATAATAAATAAAATCCAGCAATAACTTGTGTTCTTCACACAAAGGAACAGAAAACAACAAGAATAACTTCATGTTTGAAAAATAACCTGCAAAGTGAAAATTCATCCCCGACAGCAGCTGCTTTAACTCCCACTGTGTTTACAACATTTTTCAGTCAGCTCATCTGGACAGGTTCTTTTTTTGTGCTGAAACATTTCACTTTCCATCCAGAAGACTTCATCAGTCAAGGAAACACAACAAAACTGATTCTTCCCCCAACAGCTTACTCCAAAGTGGAACAAACCAGTTCTGCTTGTGATAAGATGGTCTCTTTGGTACGCCCCTCCTCCATTGCTGGCCCTCTTCCTTGTTGACAGTCGTGTCAAACTGGTTGAAAACAACAAAGTTTATGCTCAATAATCCAGGTATATAATCCAACATTTTTCAGTCAGGTCATCTGGACGGTTTCTTTTTTTGTGCTGAAACGACTGTCAACAAGGAAGAGGGCCGGCAATGGAGGATGGGGCGTACCAAAGAAACCATCTGATCACAAACACAACTGGTTTGAGTTAAGCTTCTCTGTGGTTTAAGGCTAATTTATCCGACAGCTTTGTTAAGAATTAAAACCACATTTGAAAAAAAGATTCACTATATATGGAAAACAATTAAAGTATCTTTCAAGCTGCAATATAAGTCAATATATCTAAATAATATATTAATATAGCTCAAGATAACCTTTGTATCTTTGCTTGTAATGGGTGCCTTTAATACAAAACAAAGTGAACAATTCTAGGCTAATTTGCTGCAAAATGTAGATAAGTTTTATTGCCTGATATCTGAGGAGTCACTGTCGTTGTCAGAGAGCTCGAAGAGGTAATCCGAACTGCCCTCCTCATCAGAGTAAGAACGCTCAACTTTTGGCTGCAACATGTCCTGAGTTATCTTGTTTCGGCTGTCCATGCTCCTCAGATCCTCCTTGCTGCGACACTTCTCTGTTGAACACAAACAGGCACCGTTTGTCTGCGTCTTTAAAGCATTTCAAATAAAACAGAGATAAATGTGTATTTTCCTCTGTCATATTAGACTCGTGTCATGATTACTTTGGCTGTTAATGATGCAATATGGATGAGTGCACACCTGGATGCTGGATGAGATAGGCTTCCACTAGGTTGTTGAGAATATGGTTTTTACAAATTCTCTCCACGGGGCAGCGACAGGTGGGGCAAAGACAGGAGCGCTCCATCCAACCGGAGTAGCAGGCAGCACAGAAAACGTGCATGCAAGGCTGCAAGCTTGAACAAAAACAAAAGACTCAGCATTAAAACTGTAAACAAGTGACACAACTTGTGCACAATAAGTGGCTCGCTGAAGAACAAAATCCCACAGACTAAAGATCTCACCTGATGCAGTCATGAAGTAGGTCCTGGCAAATAACGCAGGTCAGGGTTTCCTCCATTTTGTCCGTTTTACTTCCTTCCACTGCTGGTTTTGATGGAAGACTCTCAGGAGCTCTCTGAGCAGAACCTGACACCTCTGTACAGGAGGTGTGGGGCAGACCCAGGTCACTTTCTTTATCTGTAAAAAACAATACCTGTAGTCATCACTCTACAGTGCCTTGTGAAAGTATTCGGCCCCCTTCAACTTTTCAATCTTTTGCCACATTTCAGGCTTCAAACATAAAGATATAACATTTTAATTTTTTGTGAAGAATCAACAACAAGTGGGACACAATCGTGAAGTGGAATGAAATTTATTGGATGTGTCAAACTTTTTTAACAAATAAAAAACTGAAAAGTGGGGCGTGCAATATTATTCGGCCCCCTTGCATTAATACATTGTAGCGCCGCCTTTTGCTGCAGTTCCAGCTGCGAGTCTCTTGGGGTTTGTCTCGATCAGTTTTGAACATGGAGCCACTGAAATTCTTGCCCATTATTCTTTGCAAAACAGCTCGAGCTCAGTGAGGTTGGATGGAGAACGTTTGTGATCAGCAGTCTTCAGCTCTTTCCACAGATTCTCGATTGGATTCAGGTCTGGACTTTGACTTGGCCATTCCAACACCTGGATACGTTTATTTGTGAACCATTCCATTGTAGATGTGTCTTTATGTTTTGGATCATTGTCTTGTTGGAAGATAAATCTCCGTCCCAGTCTCAGGTCTCTTGCAGACTCAATCAGGTTTTCTTCCAGAATGGTCCTGTATTTGGCTCCATCCATCTTCCCATCTATTCTGACCATCTTCCCTGTCCCTGCTGATGAAAAGCAGGCCCAAACCATGATGCTGCCACCACCATGTTTGACAGTGGGGATGGTGTGTTCAGGGTGATGAGCTGTGTTGCTTTTACACCAAACATATAGTTTTGCATTGTGGCCAAACAGTTTGATTTTGGTTTCATGTGACCAGAGCACCTTCTTCCACATGTTTGGTGTGTCTCCCAGGTGCTTGTGACAAACTTTAAACAACACTTTTTATGGATATCTTTGAGAAATGTCTTTCTTCTTGCCACTCTTCCATAAAGGCCAGATTTGTGCAGTGTACGACTGATTGTTGTCCTATGGACAGACTCTCCCACCTCAGCTGTAGATCTCTGCAGTTCATCCAGAGTGATCATGGGCCTCTTGGCAGCATCTCTGATCAGTCTTCTCCTTGTTCCAGATGAAAGTTTAGAGGGACGGCCGGGTCTTGGTAGATTTGCAGTGGTCTGATACTCCTTCCATTTCAATATGAATGCTTGCACACACGTCCCACTTTTCAGTTTTTTATTTGTTAAAAAAGTTTGACATCCATTAAATTTCATTCCACTTCACGATTGTGTCCCACTTGTTGTTGATTCTTCACAAAAAAAATAAAATGGTATATCTTTATGTTTGAAGCCTGAAATGTGGCACAAGGTTGAAAAGTTCAAGGGGGCCGAATACTTTCACAAGGTACTGTATACTGAGCCTAAACTGCAAAGCAATTTAAATAATAATAATAATTTAACTTTCAGACGAGGCATGTGGTAAATTTTAAAGGACTAGAACTCTTTAGTTTGGATAAGACAACATGAGGAAATAAGCAAATACAAACTTAATCTAACCATCGTGAGTTTTCCTCCTTTTGCTTTGTGGCTCCAGATTATCTGTGTCTTTGTCCAGTGTAGGAGCAGTGTCTGTAGCTGGGCCTAAAAAGACGACATTTATGACAACAGAATATAGTTAATTCTTCAAAATGCTCATTCTGATTCTCAAAAATGACTTAAGTCGTCCGTCTTTTCTTGTATTTGGTCAGAAAAGCAGAACTGAACATCAATAAGAGGAAAGATAAATCTAGAAAATGTTGTAATACTTGATGCTTACATATACCGTATTTTCCGCCGTACCCGTCGCACCGCCCTATAAGTCACATCAGTCCAAAGATGTCTAATAAAGTGGAAAAATCCATAAATACGTTGCTTCGTTGTATACATCGCATCTATTATGCGTCACCGCTGACAACCCGGAAATGTGGGCTGGTGTTGTGCCAAAAATCAATGGGATGCCAAATGGCGGCTGCGGGAGCGTGTACAGGAGGACTTTAACAAGAATTTAACAAAATTAATGCTTAAAAACAATTATTTGCTCAAAATTATAGTAAATGTGTGTCTCAGTCTAACTTTTGCTTAATAATTGCACTTTGAGGGTCAATTCAGCTGCATTTGAAAAGTATTCGTTGCCTTGGTGCTCCGGGAGCACGCAGACAGGGAGGAAATCAGAAAGGAGGAACGCTGCACATTTATTTGAAATTTAACAAGCATCTAAAAACAATTATATGTTTGTTCGACTTTATAGTAAAAGTGTCTCAGTTGAACTTTTACTTAATTAATGCACTTTAATGGTCAAATCAGCTGCATTTCGTCGGGGCGGTGCGGTGAAATGAAGCTGATTTGACGGTTGCTCCAAGCAGCGAGCAGAACGAAGGTGGCTCTATGGCAAGCCGATTGTGTCATTAATAGCCACTTTTACCTATTGCATGATACAACGGCATGCCACACTACTCGAGTGCCATCTAGCGGCTGAAAATGGTAGTGTTCAATTTTTTTCAGTCAGAATGAATGAAAACTGTCATATCTCAGCCAAACATCGGTTTATAAATATGAGAAAAATCCATAAATACGTCACTTTGGTGTTTAAGTTGCAGGGCATGCAAATTATGCAAAAAAAAAAAAAAAAGTGACTTATAAGGCGAAAAATACGGTAACCAAAATTCCAGATGGTTATAGAGAATCTGGGCATTTAACTGGTACCAGTTCTGCCCGTGTCATCAATGAGCTCAGGGACAAATACTGTTTAAAAAATGTAAACTGCAGATTATCTATAACTGATGTCTGGTAGAGTTTACAAAAACAAACAAATTAGTAGAGATAAAAAACTACATTCACTGAACACCATGACAGTCAGATATGGACTGCCCTGATTCTCCTGACATCATCTCAAGTTCATGTGTGAGAATCTTTGAATACTTAAAATGAAAATCCTTAACATCCTGTGTTTTTGTGCGTTACCAGAAGCTGCTGCAGCCAAAGGACCAGAAGAGGAAGGACTCTCGATACAGAAGTGTGAACCCGAAGTGGAAGGCTGAGCATCCCCCTGAGCTGGACCCAGAGGAGCCTTCGCTAGCATTACAGGCTCCACAGAGAGGGACATCTCTGATGCTGAAACAGGAGAGGAACAGTGAGCTGGCCGTTCCGTTTCTGAAGATAAAACAGAGAATAAGAAATTACTTACAGAGACACAAAATAAAAATATAGAATACATGACGTAGTTGTATTTTACAAGCATTTGTAGGGGTAGTTGGCGGACAACTTACCGTAGCTGGCAAGTGTTGGCTGGCTGGTAACACCTAGCTCCGTTTGGACGGAGTGGTAAACATACGCTATGTCTGCAGTGTGGCAGAAGAATATGTCTGTAGTTTCTATTGAAACTGATATAGACAAACTTATTTTGCTTCACAAAATGAATGACTCACTTTGTTCTGGCTCACTCTTTCTGTACACAAAGTAGATGACATCACCGTTTTGCAGCACGTGACTTTGCTTCTTGACCAGTTTGGACATGTTGATCACTGTGCCATTAGTGCTACGGAAAAACAAATAAATGCTTTAACAGAACACCAACATGCAGATTTTATGTAATGTCCAAACAAAAAGACAAGCTTCAAATCATCTGCGGGTCAAATTACTACTTTTGAAAGTATAATGATCTTTTATATCTTCATTCTTTTCATGTGATTTAAAATAATCTAAGCTCTAGAGTACTTGGGACAATATTCAGCTCGATAACGGAGGAACAGGCGTAAAGTTTTACACAGCAACTAATGTTTTAATGAGAAGCCTCAGGTGAAAGTACCTCATGTCTTTAAGCCACACCAGCCCTGAGCTCTCATCTTTCACTATCTTGCAGTGCTCCCCTGAGACAAGTTTATTGGCTGGAAAGGACAAATGACAACCTGCAGAAAGAGTTTAATTAAAATACAGTCAAATACAATAATGATAATTTCAAAAATTCCATCTTTTTAAATCCATTTGTCTTCTGCTATTAAGTGCCCTTTTAGATTTTGCTTCCATCTTACTTTTTTAAAGCCTTTTACAAAACAAAACATCCACAGCTTTGATTGACGTGTGTAAATAATTTGAAATCTCTCTCCCCCCCCCAAAAAAAAAAAAAAACACTAGTTGCCATAACATTTTTAAATTAATTCATTACCAACCTATTAAGCAATGCAAAGCCCAGTGGCTTTGCAATGTAAAAAAGTAGATTCCCCAAAGCCCTCAACAACAAAGCAGACACGGGGTGGGGGATACAGACCTAACCTCGTCCAACGCAACACCCACAGAAAAAAAACCTCTACTTAATATTCTACACATGTCGTCAATAGACGTCTTTTGTTCCCGTCACAAGGGGCTGTCTAAGATTGGTGCACTAAAGAAGGCTTTGTGTTTTCAATGGGGGGGGTTGTAAAAGGCTGCAGACACTGACAGAAACGTCTACACTCCTGACAGCGTTGTCTGTTGTTCAAAGACACGTCTGCTTTCAGAGAAATTTTAAACTGGATATATGTTTTTAAAACATGAACTAACAGTCAGTAGCAAAGCCCTGTTGTTTAGATAATATATAATATAACCAAACTGTCCCACCTTTTTTCCTGCCAACTGTGCACTCCCTGTTGAAAAGCAGGACAGTTTCACTGGAGTCCACTTTGACCAGTTTGCCCCACGGTCCTCCTCCTCTGTGGCTGTCCATGTCCCAGCCTTATTATTCCTAACAAGGGGTCAAACAAGACGGGGTACATTTGCACAAACAAAATATTCTTTGTTAATTTCATCACACTCTTCAGTGTCTTTAGTTGCTCTTCAGTTTTTACCAGTGTGACGTGTGAAACTAAATGCTGCAGTAAATGTTGAGTTTGTGTGCTGAATTCATGTTTTAACTTTTGCAGTGATATAAAACAGCGTCAGGACTGATATGCACCTTATAGTGACTGTTTAAACAAAAGGTTGGTGAAGTAACTAAACCTGGTAAAGATGGGTACTTCTGAAATGTTAGCCGCCATTGTTCCGTGACAAGCTGGTGAAGACGTGGGAGTAAGCCATCAGTGCTCACTGCTCATAAACTTTCAATGATGCGGGAAACTATCCCCAGAATCCCAACAACACACCCAACTTTTTACCTAATACAACGAAGCTAACGACACTGCTAGCATTAGCATTAGATTTGAAGAGGAAAACGACACCGGAAGTCCTCAGCTCAGACTAATGTCTGTATCGTTCAGCTAAAAAGAATCCGGTTTGTTACCTTACCATTAAACGCCTAATAAGATGTCCCAGGTGTTTTGGAAAAAAACAGCTTCTTCTCCTCATGCTCCAGCTAGCTACACGGAGCACTTCCTGCAAACAGAGCAGTGACGTCACTGATGGAGGCGGGGCCACGTCAGTCAGCGTTCCTGGACTTTTCTCATCGTCAGAAGAAAGGGGGAACTTTTTGCAGCTCAAATTCTTCAATGTGACACCACATTCATAGATTAAATAAACTAAAATGAATTTTTAAGTCAGCTGGACTTCTAAACTTGTATGCAAATGAGCTATTTTCTAAAAGAAGGGGTTTTAAAACTGATCACTGAGCCGCAGCTGAGCTACAAGTTTGTTTGACATGCAGTTCCTGAACTTCAGGTTCTCTGTTATTTGTTTCTAAAACTGGGGGAGTTAAGAAGAAGCAAAATGTGGAAGTCAGTTGCGAACAGAAAGCCAAAGAAAATCTTGTCCTGGTGCATGCTCAATAATCCAATTAGACAAATCTAACAAGGATAAATCAGGTTCTCTGGATGGATTACCATACCATTCCACTTTATTTATAAAGCACTTAAAACAGCGACAAGGCCAACCAAAGTGCTGTACAGACAGAACAACAGGTAACACACAAAGCAAAACACAAAATGAGGTAAATCAGAATATAGACATAAAAACGATGCAGATAATGACGACAAACCAGTGTGGAGCATACAGGATCAAAACACAGATCA